CAAAATAGTTACCTTTATTCAATGATTGATGATACTGTAAATTTTTTTTACACAACATTGCTTAACATGATCTACAATCTATGTAGAGTTTAGTGAAAATGATATATTGCTACAAGTAAATTCTTATATATCTCTTGTTTATATTTTCTTAAAGAAATTGCATGACGTTTAAATTATTGGCATTGCTAACTGAGAAGAAATAATCCTTTTTTTTAAATAGTCTGGCTTCGAAGTCTAGCATATAATAACACGAAAATATTTTATTCTTTTCTAGCTATTTATGTCTTTATAGAGAAAAACAATTTTGAATAATTTAGTGTCAAAGAATAAATCTAATTAACTTGTTTGAGACTTTATTATCACAAGATGATAGCTGATAATTAAGAAATCTGAGTAGGCTTATTACTAAGATTAATAGAAATATGTTATTATTTTTTACGTTTTACGTTCTTATTTATTTATTTTTTTTTTGCGTTATTTTGCATTAATTTTATTAAAAGGCGGTAAATTTGTCATCTTTTGACGATAATTGATGTTTAAAAAATTATATAAATAATCTAAAAATATAATTTTTATTAAATTTGAAATTTCTATAATCAATTCTTTACTATTTTTACTTTTTATTTTTATAAAAAATTAATAAATTTGATTTATTACATCATTTATTTCTTAAAAGTAATATCTTAAGGGTTTAAGTGCTTGATTTTCGTTTATTCGATTAAACATAATTAATCAATATTTGTAATGAAATATAATATAAATCTACTAAGCGATATTAATAGTAGTGAATGATCCATTAATCTTTATTCTCATCCCGAGGAACCAAAATCCTATTTCGGAATGAAATAGTAATCGAGATTCTATTTTATGTATGAAGGTATTTCGTTGAGAAGATTTAAAAAATTATAACTTGTTATTAAATAGATTTAATAGTAAAGTAATTTACATTTGATGATGATTGTTAATAAGGAGTTCCAGAAAGAAATTATAAATGTCATATTATAAAATAATAATTATGTAAATTAATATAAAAAATTATTTATTTATTTATCGAAACGAATTTTAAACTTATATAATGGTTTGTTTATATATATGAAACGTGCTATATAAATTTACTATAAACATGTTATGATTAATTTAATTATAAGTTAACATCCCAGTTTTATGAGATGAAAATTAATTTAGTTAAATATAATTAATTTATATAGCTTATAATTAAAATCATTGTTAATTAATAGAGAAAATTTTTCGTTTTACATTTGATTCAAAATAGCAAAAATTAATCACACCACGATATCAATATTGGTACAATACAAATGTTCAGAACCATGTTACATCTGTTACTCCTTATAGTAATGCAGTTAGGACTTAGTATATATATTTTTATTGTAAAATGTAGTTCGTCGCGGAGAACAAGTATAGTATTTTCCCTCTTTTCCAATAAATCTTTCGAAAAAGATTTCTAACAAACAAATACTTTTGGTGCCGGTAAATTTGCAACTGGTGTTCCCCATGGGTCAAAAGACTGAAGTCTGATTGATACAAGCTACGTACTTTTCTTGGAGAAAACAAGTCATTAATTTCCTACCGATCCCAGGGGAGTTTCACTTCTACTTTCTGATCGAACGTTTAGTTTAGACAGTGCAACTTAAAGCTCACACACATTTTATATTTGGAGTAACGAATAGTTTTATATAATCTATGCTACATTTTAGTTTCGTTTTTTTTAAAATAATATTAAAACATATATCCAAATAGAAAATATTTAAATATATAATTTATTTTCATTTTACAGGAGTCATTACTCTAAACATTTAACGAAATATCTTGACAAGTATAAACTTACCGAATTATCCACAACAATACTTTACAATGACAATTATTAATATGCTTTAATTTAATAGACCAGACAATAGAGCACATTACAGTAACCATAACTAAACTTACTAAAACAATATATCTCAATTGTGCTTATATTATGTATTAATTTCAACGTTGTCGCAGTGACTAAAATGACAAGAGATACTCCGAAATCGAACGCTATTCATCAAAATCTAATATCCCAATCGGGTAATTAAGTTAGACTTTAGTTTCCCTGGTAAGTTTGCTGCACGCTAGGAACTTAGCTGCGTGACATTATCTGATCCCAAGTAATAACAGGTGAGTACCGATATGGTGAATGGTTATTAGTTCAACAGCAATCATTAGACGAGTATAGTGTGCCAATTATGATATAGTGTGAGCCATTATACTTTGTAACATGTATCAAAAAGAAGTTCACAGAAAACAAATTAACTAAATAAGAACATAATTGAATATATTAGAGTAAGATATTAAAATGTATTTAATATTAATGTAATTACTAAATATATATACTATGAATAAAATATGTGTAGTTAATAGAATTTAGTTTGTCTCGGTGTCAACAAAATAGTTACCTTTATTCAATGATTGATGATACTGTAAATTTTTTTTACACAACATTGCTTAACATGATCTACAATCTATGTAGAGTTTAGTGAAAATGATATATTGCTACAAGTAAATTCTTATATATCTCTTGTTTATATTTTCTTAAAGAAATTGCATGACGTTTAAATTATTGGCATTGCTAACTGAGAAGAAATAATCCTTTTTTTTAAATAGTCTGGCTTCGAAGTCTAGCATATAATAACACGAAAATATTTTATTCTTTTCTAGCTATTTATGTCTTTATAGAGAAAAACAATTTTGAATAATTTAGTGTCAAAGAATAAATCTAATTAACTTGTTTGAGACTTTATTATCACAAGATGATAGCTGATAATTAAGAAATCTGAGTAGGCTTATTACTAAGATTAATAGAAATATGTTATTATTTTTTACGTTTTACGTTCTTATTTATTTATTTTTTTTTTGCGTTATTTTGCATTAATTTTATTAAAAGGCGGTAAATTTGTCATCTTTTGACGATAATTGATGTTTAAAAAATTATATAAATAATCTAAAAATATAATTTTTATTAAATTTGAAATTTCTATAATCAATTCTTTACTATTTTTACTTTTTATTTTTATAAAAAATTAATAAATTTGATTTATTACATCATTTATTTCTTAAAAGTAATATCTTAAGGGTTTAAGTGCTTGATTTTCGTTTATTCGATTAAACATAATTAATCAATATTTGTAATGAAATATAATATAAATCTACTAAGCGATATTAATAGTAGTGAATGATCCATTAATCTTTATTCTCATCCCGAGGAACCAAAATCCTATTTCGGAATGAAATAGTAATCGAGATTCTATTTTATGTATGAAGGTATTTCGTTGAGAAGATTTAAAAAATTATAACTTGTTATTAAATAGATTTAATAGTAAAGTAATTTACATTTGATGATGATTGTTAATAAGGAGTTCCAGAAAGAAATTATAAATGTCATATTATAAAATAATAATTATGTAAATTAATATAAAAAATTATTTATTTATTTATCGAAACGAATTTTAAACTTATATAATGGTTTGTTTATATATATGAAACGTGCTATATAAATTTACTATAAACATGTTATGATTAATTTAATTATAAGTTAACATCCCAGTTTTATGAGATGAAAATTAATTTAGTTAAATATAATTAATTTATATAGCTTATAATTAAAATCATTGTTAATTAATAGAGAAAATTTTTCGTTTTACATTTGATTCAAAATAGCAAAAATTAATCACACCACGATATCAATATTGGTACAATACAAATGTTCAGAACCATGTTACATCTGTTACTCCTTATAGTAATGCAGTTAGGACTTAGTATATATATTTTTATTGTAAAATGTAGTTCGTCGCGGAGAACAAGTATAGTATTTTCCCTCTTTTCCAATAAATCTTTCGAAAAAGATTTCTAACAAACAAATACTTTTGGTGCCGGTAAATTTGCAACTGGTGTTCCCCATGGGTCAAAAGACTGAAGTCTGATTGATACAAGCTACGTACTTTTCTTGGAGAAAACAAGTCATTAATTTCCTACCGATCCCAGGGGAGTTTCACTTCTACTTTCTGATCGAACGTTTAGTTTAGACAGTGCAACTTAAAGCTCACACACATTTTATATTTGGAGTAACGAATAGTTTTATATAATCTATGCTACATTTTAGTTTCGTTTTTTTTTTTAAATAATATTAAAACATATATCCAAATAGAAAATATTTAAATATATAATTTATTTTCATTTTACAGGATTCATTACTCTAAACATTTAACGAAATATCTTGACAAGCATAAACTTACCGAATTATCCACAACAATACTTTACAATGACAATTATTAATATGCTTTAATTTAATAGACCAGACAATAGAGCACATTACAGTAACCATAACTAAACTTACTAAAACAATATATCTCAATTGTGCTTATATTATGTATTAATTTCAACGTTGTCGCAGTGACTAAAATGACAAGAGATACTCCGAAATCGAACGCTATTCATCAAAATCTAATATCCCAATCGGGTAATTAAGTTAGACTTTAGTTTCCCTGGTAAGTTTGCTGCACGCTAGGAACTTAGCTGCGTGACATTATCTGATCCCAAGTAATAACAGGTGAGTACCGATATGGTGAATGGTTATTAGTTCAACAGCAATCATTAGACGAGTATAGTGTGCCAATTATGATATAGTGTGAGCCATTATACTTTGTAACATGTATCAAAAAGAAGTTCACAGAAAACAAATTAACTAATTGTTCTACTTTATTATAACAATTTTTCGTAAATTAAATAATTTTAAATTTGTATAAATTCAAAGGACAATAATTAATATTTGCTAAATTACAATAAAACAAAGCAAAAAAGTTCTTTGAGAATTTAATACAGTCGCATTTGATGATGATGATAATTCATTAAGATATCATACCAAATATATTTTCTTGTATTTTATTTTAAAAATTCAAAATATAATATTAACTTTTTTCATACTTTACAAATATTTGTTTTAAAAAATCAAATATTATTTATAGGGCCAGATTTTTGGGGACTTCTAAATCCCGATTGGAGTATGTGTAGTAAAGGTAGAAGACAATCACCTGTAAACATCAATCCTAATACTCTTTTGTTTGATCCTAATCTCAGAGCTATACAGGTCGATAAACAGAGGGTAAGTTATAGCATTTAAATAATTTAATAATTTAATTCTGTACTTGTTTATGATTAATTTCAATAGACTACAAACTTTTTGAATTTGATAAATTAAATATTTAACCGTTATAATATAATTTATTACTTTAGACTAATAAAAAATTCAAAAATTACTTATTAAATTTTAAATTTTAATTGATAAGATTTAAAAGATGATATAAAGATTCAATCGAAAATAATCAGATAATATAATTACGATAAATGATAAAATAAGTAATATGTTTTTTTATTAATTGACCATATTTAAACACTGAATTCATTTATCTTTCACATAATATTGACTCAATTATAGGTAATGTGATATAAAGGATACTTAATTTTTCAACTCAATTATTTTTAATTTATAAAACAAAATTTTAATAAAAATAAACTTAAAAAAANTGACTGTACTTTTAATGTCCATATTTTGCCATCAACCATTATGGTAACCCTACTATTGCTTGTACCTTAGTGTCCACGTGGGGGCAAGTCCCCACATCCCCTAACACTATATAATATCAAGTACTCCACAAACAGTCAAGTAGGCTACTCAAAGCTGGCATAGTCTTTACATGGGCTAAATAGTTAAATGCGATAGTCATGGGCGTAGCCAGAGTTTTGTTATGGGGGGCCTAGTGGAGGCCAACCTGACACAAAATTGAATTATTTCAAATTATTGTTCATTATTGGGCACCAAGCAAGCCGTTCACCTTTTTTTTAGTATTCAAAACTTTTATTTTAGCTTTAGGTGTTTACAAATCGACTCAACACTTTTTCGGCTGTGATTTCCTGGGGGGGCACCAGGTTCTCTGGGAGGGGCTGTGCCCACCCAGGCTCCCCCCTCGCTATGCCCATGGCGATAGTCTTAGTGGAGTGACACGACTCTCGATTGTATGTGACCCAGAAATAAGCTGATTTTGGGACAGGTGTAACTCACAAAGGGTCAACATAGATGTATGGTTCCTTTGACTTTTTGCCCCTATGGGTATGGTCTACAGCTCTGTTAAGGTCCCAACCATCTCATTCAAAGGTGAAATTGTACCAAAAAATGCACTTTGTTTCCTAATGTTAAACTGTGATTTTGCAAAAAATACTACATATAATTTTGAGTCAAAAATATGATCAAACTTTGATATAATGCCCTCCTATTGGGAGTCCCCACAGAAGAAGCAAACGGGACACTTGCTCCTCCCTGGGATTGAGTAAAAAATTCCACAAATCATAATCATAAAAGTGATTGAGATAAACAACCTTACATCTTTAACCCGGGGATGCTTTGTCTGTGGTTTAGTATTGAATAGTGTATTCTATAATATACTTGTGAAAAATTATTTTTCTGCTCTGAAGTGCAGGGGTACCCTAAATTCTGCAGCATCTTAAATGCAAAGTAATACAAAGTAATTTAAATGTGTAAAAACTACATTTGAACTTTTAAAGTAATTAATTTAATTCAAATTATTTCTACTAAATATCAATAAATTAATTTAAAAGTGAGCATTAACCTGGCGCAACTTTACATATTCTAAATAGATTTGCGTTTTTAATTATATTAAGCCAATATTATTTGATAATTTGGATAATAAATATTGTCTTTTTATCTATAACACAAATAAATTAAAACATAGCACAAAGGTATCTTATAAATAGGAAGAAGTTAGAAAATAGATGATGATCTTGAAATAAAAATAACTAATGTTCCAGTTATTTTTATTCCAAGATTATCTCTGTTTATCCATTGGAAAGAGAACTGAATGATCATAATATTGTAAAACATATGTCGAGACGTCTCAAACAGTATATTGATGTCAAGTATTTAATCCCGTTTTCCACTGTATGATATCATTCAATTTTTATATTTTTTTAATTTCATAACTATATAAGGTCTAACACAAGCTGTAAGAATGTAAAGATAATTATTTTTTAATTAATTAAAAATCTTTTATAGCCTATTTTAATTGTCTTCTTTTGGAATTGTGGAGAAATGAATTTTCAATCAAAATAGTAAACGATTCTATCCTTTTAAAATATAAGAGCACTTAATTTCAATAATAAATATCTTCTTGACTTCTGCTATGTTTTCTGGTTTCATGTATTATATATATAGTTGATTGGATACAAGCCATGCTGCAATTCAATTTGTGCTGCATTTGTGGCCATGAAACATAGGTTGTTGATCCCAAGAGAACCCGAAACAGTTTTCTTGAGAAACTTTCTCTCACTTTGCAGCTACAGAATTTACAGAAAATTGATCCATAAAATGACAATTTAGAAACATTGCTTTCGGTATATAGAAAGAATTTTGCTTAAAAAAGTACTTTTTATATTACATAAATGCAAATATAATTTATTAGGTAAATGTTATTTTTTTAAAAGAATATATATCAAACACGTAATTTAATAAAATATAAAATTATTTATTATAAAAAGTTTGTTTTATTAAAATAAATTGAATAGCGTGTAAGTTGGTATGTTTAACATAAATCTTCTCGTAAAGCTGATAGCCGTTTATAAATTTAAAATAATGGCGTATATAGTTTAAGTATTTATGTTAACAAATACTTTTCGGATGTAGAAATAGTTCTTTTATGAATGTCTTCTTATTCGTCAATTGAAAATATATAATGAAAATATTAGATCAATAATATCTGCCGATATATATATTATTTAAAGTTTGTCAATCAATATTGAGAATTTTCTCACTTATTTTATTTTAAAATAAAAGTTTTATTCTAAAACATCTTTTTTAAATTCGAAAAAGATAAATAAGAAATTTGTTTGTACTGGAACATTGCTTATTTTATACAAGAACAACTCAACAGACTTTAGTACAATCTGACATTCTTTNAACATGTTCAATTATATAATTAAAATCACATATTATATGTCAATTAATAAATATATAATTTTTTACTGATTAAAATTAAATCAAGTTTTACATTTTAATAATCTTTATGAAATTATTTAAGAAATCACTATCAATAAGAATTTCATGATAAGTGTTTAGTAGAGGTAAACTATTTAATTACTACTAAATTTTTATTTTAGTATTTATTTTGAAGAAAATAAAATATAAGGTAAATATTTGCTATTACAAATGTATTTTATAAAAAAAAAAGAATTCTGATAAACGTTATTTTTTTTCAAAATACAAACTTATAATTTTTATATTCTTTTAATTTCATTAATATTTAAGCGTAAATAAAATTTTCAATCAAAATAGTAAACGATTCTATCCTTTTAAAATATAAGAGCACTTAATTTCAATAATAAATATCTTCTTGACTTCTGCTATGTTTTCTGGTTTCATGTATTATATATATAGTTGATTGGATACAAGCCATGCTGCAATTCAATTTGTGCTGCATTTGTGGCCATGAAACATAGGTTGTTGATCCCAAGAGAACCCGAAACAGTTTTCTTGAGAAACTTTCTCTCACTTTGCAGCTACAGAATTTACAGAAAATTGATCCATAAAATGACAATTTAGAAACATTGCTTTCGGTATATAGAAAGAATTTTGCTTAAAAAAGTACTTTTTATATTACATAAATGCAAATATAATTTATTAGGTAAATGTTATTTTTTTAAAAGAATATATATCAAACACGTAATTTAATAAAATATAAAATTATTTATTATAAAAAGTTTGTTTTATTAAAATAAATTGAATAGCGTGTAAGTTGGTATGTTTAACATAAATCTTCTCGTAAAGCTGATAGCCGTTTATAAATTTAAAATAATGGCGTATATAGTTTAAGTATTTATGTTAACAAATACTTTTCGGATGTAGAAATAGTTCTTTTATGAATGTCTTCTTATTCGTCAATTGAAAATATATAATGAAAATATTAGATCAATAATATCTGCCGATATATATATTATTTAAAGTTTGTCAATCAATATTGAGAATTTTCTCACTTATTTTTTTTTAAAATAAAAGTTTTATTCTAAAACATCTTTTTTAAATTCGAAAAAGATAAATAAGAAATTTGTTTGTACTGGAACATTGCTTATTTTATACAAGAACAACTCAACAGACTTTAGTACAATCTGACATTCTTTATACTGATTAAATGTTCTATTCCCAGAAGAAAACATATCAAGTTTTTTTTTTTTCCTTCTGTCCTCAATGCTAGAAAAAATATTTGTGTTTACATCATGCCAGAGGTGGAACGGTTCTAACAATTAAGGTAAAAGTGAAGATTCGACAACAGCTGTAATTTCGTCAATACGTCTAGGCATTTACACACACCTGCGCCCTATACAGTGAATTTAACCATTGATATTCTATTGGCTCATCTTTTCAACACTCGTGGTTTGTCCTTCTTCGAATATTGTATTATTAGTATTATTTAAGGTATATATCAATATCTTAGCTCAGTTATTGTATAAATTACAAAGCATCAAGAGCTAATTTATTCAATACGAGAACAATTGCTAGTGCTTAATATATACATTTTTTTTTTTTTTCCTCCCCGAAGGTAAATGGTGTAATCACCAACACGGGACACAGTGTCATCTTTAATGTTAATACAGAATTTTCTTCCGTCGTCAACATCAGTGGCGGTCCTTTATCGTATACCTATCGTTTTCAAGAGATTCATCTACATTACGGAAGGACTGATACTTACGGTTCGGAGCACACAGTTGGAGGGGATTCATTTCCAGCAGAGGTAAAGTAATATTATTATTATCTAACATTTTATCTAAATAGAATTTAAAGAAGCAAAAGTAACTACTTTTTTTTGAGAAATTAGTTTGAAAGTAGATAGTGATCTTCTATAACAATTTAAGAATCGTTTCTGATGTATCGGCTTATATGATAAAATCCAGATGGTTGTACTCTGATGCCTTGAAAATTATTGCTAAAAGTACATTTTTCATCTGAAAAATTGATTAAAAAGAAAATTAAAAATTGCAATTTTCTTAATAAACGAGCAATTAATTTTATCGGTTTACATTAAAATTGTTTAACGTTGAAGATAAATAAAGAAATATATATATATATTGTTTTGCTTTTAAATATCTTTAAAACAACCTTTTTACTAAGTAAATTATTACAAATTTTTAAGATATTCTAATAAATATTTTATTTTTAAAACTTTATTAAATTTTTGAATAATATTTTTATTTATAAAAATTTGTCTAAAAGATATTTTAAGAGAATATTTTAAAAATAATTTATTAATAGTACAAATATTAATTATTATCTTTAAAAGAGATTATTTTTTCGTTAAAAAATCGCAACTTTGCGATCATCGAACGAACAAAATTTCTTTATGTTAATTAAATATGAGCAAAAGTATTTAAACGAAAATTGCAGGTTTCTCTTTGGTGTTTTTGTTTATGATCGGTATAATAAAAAAAAAAAAACAGGAAAATTAGATAAGATTATCATTTCATTTATAAGAAAGCAATCGCAAATTGGAAGACTCCTCTTTCTAATCAAAGAATCTATAATTTTTCATTTTTAAAATAATTTATTTCTCTGCCAGATCTGGAGATCAAAACAATTTAAATTCGACTGCGTTATACTTCTTTCGTTAATCGTCATTCCGAATTAAATCGGATGAGTATAAACTTCTTAATGTCTTATTCACGGGTAATAACTTTCAAAGAACTTTATTAACCTTCTGATAATAAATTATGACAACAGAAAACATCTGTTCAGATCCTACTGTTTTACATCATTAGTTTTGCCTTTTTTTTCATTCACTTTTACTAATTATACATAGATTACGAGTTTCTTTCTACGATTTCTTATATGAAAAAATTAATAAAAATCATAAATAACTTTGAATAATAAATTAAAAAGTAATGCAAAATCGAATTAAAATGATTGTGTAACGTTTTTCTGATGTAGATCTAAGAGCATTTCGGATATGTGAGAGTTTCGATTTCTTGAAAGCTTTCTCTGTGAAAGTTTCCGTAGGTTTCTCTTTAAACTGGTCAATCGATTTGGTTGAATAATCTCTGATGTGACTGTAGATATTCGATTTTGTAGATCCGAGACCAAAATCGAACAACATAGCAGAATATGCTGAGAATTTTTATGTATATAGATTGAACATATTGTTAAGCGCACTTTGAACTCTAAATGACAAATAAAATAAGAAATTGCAACGGAAAAGTTTGAAATAATATAAAATTAATAAAATAACATGCTTCATTATTATATTTTAGATTAATTGTTACTTTAATTAAAATACTAGCATTTTATTTGATCTTGGAATTACTGAAACTCGATGAGGAAACTTAATACAAATTGTTTCCAGTCGATAGACTGAGGTAGATGACATGTTTCCATGACGACCAAAGGGGGAAGGAACTTACATCACCGGAAACGGAAATCGTACCGGAAGCGAGGCAGGAACACTCCCTCCTGTCCAATGGGGTGCAATTAGGTCAAGATTTACTTGCAACTAACGTATGTTCCTCGATATAGTTAATGGCAATCCAGGATATTGAAGGAAGTTTTCTAGAGTTTCCGGATCTTAATTCAAATATTTTAACAATGTTTCTTTTATGATTACGCTAATATTGATAGAATAACGGCAAGAATCGCTGAAAAGTATTATTCAAACTATATTCAGAAGACTGTATTTCGCAAAGCTAACAGAATAGATTTACTATAGTCATTGAAAGAGAGTTCTATGTCATGGGTATATATATGAAAGCGGTCCTGAGATCATCAATCTATTTACAGAAACTTTTGACATTCCGATTTTCCGATATCATCGAACATTACATTATTGAGAGAGAAAAAAGATGATTTCAGGTTTTATACTGTCAGTTTATGATTTTTATTCCAATGAAAAATTGAAGAAATATTAGTCAATGTTATCACGGTATTGCAATGGATGCAGTTTACTGATAAAATGTTATGAGGTTTATGCTATATTTTATATGATTTATTGGAAGAATTTATTATTTTTAACCATAAAGAAGATCACGTAACGCATAAGCACAGTAATGGAGCCAACTTAACTTTGCTCAGCTATTTTCGTAAATCTATTTTCTCCGAATTATTATCTGCTTTATATTCTCTATTTTGTTTACATTTTATTTTTAGCTTCTTATATAAAAACTTTATATATTGCTACTAAGAATACTTTTGACTTAAAATATTTACTAGATTGAATTTTCCTTTTAAAATATACACAAACCTAGAATAATTTATTAAAATATATTCTAATAAAATGTGCACAAAAGCATTATAAATGAATCAACCATAATAAAATTTAATAATTTAATATACTTTTTATAACCCTTTAGTATTTAAATAATTAAGATTTTAAATTATTTTTGTGTTTATAACGCATTCGAATAACAGAATATACAATTTACACGTAGAAAAATCATTTCTTCATTTCTAGCTTTCACAATCTAACGTGAAAGTTGTCTGTCTGTGTTGAAATAAAGATTAATCTTAGACTACAACTTCTAGAAAGAATTGACCTGGTAGTCTATCCAATCCTTTGGACAAGTACAGCTCACAACAGCTTATCTTCAAAACACGATCTTTAGTCCTAGTGCAGTAGAATGGATAAAGGAATCCTAAAGTAGACCAACATGATCGCTTCATTTTGGCAAGGCAAAAAATTAGTTTTCTTATTTCTTTATCCAGGATCTAAGACGGTTAATGCACAGAGCTCAAATGTCCGAGAAGCGCGCATTGAAGGTTAAATCTTAATTCTGTAAAAGAACATCACACAAATATGTTTTATCTTATGTGACAAATAGCTAAAAAATCATGAAATGTTTGTAATTTTTATTGGAATTATATACAACCTTTTCAAAAATTCAAGTGTTAAGTTTATTTTTGTATGATCTTAAGTTTAGTAGATTGAATAGTTTTTTCAATAATCTTTATTGAATAATATAAAGTTTTAAAATATGTTATTACTAAATATAACATTACTGAAAAACTAAGACATATCAAATACAGGAATATAAAAAATAGTAGAAGATATATTAGTTTATGAAATAAATTCGAAGGTTTAAATTATTAAAACATTAAAACTTAAGAATTTTGTTGAGACTAATTTAAAATTCTTATAAATTTATATTTAAAACATTTCTCGCTATAGACTATAAGCATTTAAAAATATCAATAATGCAAAACATTGTTCTAGGAAAGGAAATTATAGAAAAATTGTGAAAATTTGCGATATTTTATAATTCATATAATCATATAGTTTTATCTATTATATTTTATTCATTTATGGTATTTTATTAAAATTATTTTTTTATTAACTTCCTGTGTTTACTTATGGAGATATTATCTGTAATTTATATTATAAAATTCTTCCACGATTTTAATTAATAATCTGAAAATTTTTAACTCAATTGTTTGAATATTTTCTGACTACTTTAGTTAATTATTTGTAGAATATTTAAACTTTATTTTTTATTTATAATTATTATATAACTATGTTTATGTTAAAATATATCTATAATAATTCACCACACCATGAATGAGAAAAAGCAAATGTAACACCTGAATTTTGTTGTTATTTTTCGACTTTATATCATGTTAGAACCAAATATCAGCTGTCAGGCTGTAAATATCATGATCTGGGTCTTATCACTGTTGAAGTTTAGGAGATTTTTCAGGATAATATTCTGCCAAATTTATGAGAAACCATAGAAATATTTATAATTTACTTGATAAAATTTTATATAAGGAGAAAAAAGATATCAAAATTTTAGCATTTCTTCAAGTATAAATTCTCATAAAATGCATTAAATATTATACATTTAAAATAATTTACGTAACACGAAAAAACGTTTTTCAAACATTTTTCTTTTGAATTTATTCATATTGATACATTTTAAATGATTTAAAGAAATAATTCAAGAAAACTGAATATAATGCCAAAAGAAATGTAAACTTTTAACAGAAATTTATATGTATTTTCTCTAATATGCAGATTTATACTTTTATGAGTTAAATTATCAACTTGTGTATTACAAGATAATTTAAATAGTGCTTTCTCGCATCATTTTCTTTAAAAAAAGTTTTGAAAACGTTATTAATTACTTGAAATCTGTAGATTTAGAATACGATGACAAAAATAAACTTAATGTTTATGATATTATCATTTTTAACTTTTAAATTGGCCTAATTAAGCTGTTTATCTAGACTTAGAAGATTATTTCTCATCATCTATTTAATGTTAAACGATTTCATTAAAAAATCTCATCGTAACGGAGGTGGGATCTAAAACGTAAGACATTTCTTCTATTTTGATAATTTCCATGCAGTTTATTTTATAATATACGTAGAAAGTTGTCTTGCAAGGTAATATGCATAATAATTTTGTATTTAATTGAAATTTTCTTGCATCTTTGATGCTAACTTACAATTTATTGCTAAATGAATTTTTTAAAGTAATATATAGTTTTGAATACTAATTAATATTCTGACGCTAATTTTTTAGTAATGAATATTAATTAAAGAAATGTTTGTAGATTTCATGGAAATAGATAAAAAATAAATAACAATTAACTGCAACATGAACGTCTATATGCTTTGAAATTTGCCTTGCAACTTAACACTCTTCGTTATATAATACCATACATAATCAGGATCGGGTACAGGCAATACCTGTAAATGATTTTTAGATCTATAACTGTATTAGAAAGTTAGGGAGCGATGAGTAAGGGAATA